CGGAAAATATTTCTCGAAGAAAGGATAACGAGTCAACTTCAATATTATTAAAGACAACTTACCAAACTTCGCCTGGCGCGGAATAATAACCCCTTTCTTTACACAAAATTACAGTTAGTTAAATTTGTCACTTTACCCGAGAGACCCGTTGACACTCGTGCACCCCCATCCTCACCATTCGCGCTAATTTGCATTGATAACTATACCCCCACCCCCTTCACCCCACAAGAAACAAACCTCCATCAAGGCTGAATGTTGCCCTATATTAACCCCAAACCCAAGAAGAATGTTGCTGTATTGTAGCGCCACGGGACTTTTGTCAGACGTGGAAAGCGGACGTAAAACCGGTTGCCACATCCGGCGTATGACCCATGCATCTGCTCTTACTACATCTTTTGGAAAATCCTTGTGATCGTCTAGTACAATGTATTTGTAATTCTGTTCTTTGGCTACGCCCCCCGTTGTGTATTTTCTTCTTTCTATCCCCGCCGTTAAGACGGCTATCTTCTCAGTAGTTAAGACGTTTGTCTTACCATAGGAGTAACAATGCATCAGTTCCTTTTACATTTTATATATCAGGCACGCAGACTCGCTGGAGAGAGTCTGCTGATAGATATTGCTAAGTCTTCTCCCTCTGGAATCCAGCGGCTGTCTGACGAATGCCTAGAGATATGATAGTTTTGTAGCTTTGGGTTTGGACCTTCAATTATCTAATTAATCAAATATTACGTAATTAATTAAAATGATTGGTTAATTGGCCTAATGACGTTAAAACAAAAACAAACACACCCTTATATGGACAGTGGAAACTTACCATTAGAAATGTCACAAGTGTTATTTTGTTATTAACCCAAAATTAAATGTTTACCAAATTATAATTTTTTTTATGTGTCCACCCGTCACTTATTTTTTGGGTGCATGAGATCTGACATCTATAGAATGTGTGAATCCAATAAAAAATACAATATAATGCTAGTATTAATTTAAAGAGCAAAAATTCTACCAATCTATAGTCTTACATTTTGGACAAACGGGGTGGGGACGAGAGATTTAGAGAACAGCATGGAAATGATGTAAGTACAGGATATAATAAGCAAACCTTGCGGTTTCATGGAAATGAACAGTTAGTACGCCCATATCAAGAGCCGAATGCTGGGCCCCCAGAAGGCGGGTAAGCAGACCAAACTTTGGCGGGGAGGGGCAGCGCCGGAAATGTTTGGTTCTGTGGCACATGCTATAGATTTGACGTATTGCTGAGCCATGTGTATCAATATTGTCGTTGCGCGACATTGTTTTGTTTGTTTGTTTTTTTTTTGTTTGTATTCTCCATTGTCAGTATATTAGTTATGGTATGAGTTTATTTTGAACGCAAATTAAATTGTCTATGAAATATAGTGACAATAGGACATGGAGGTTTGTTTCTTGTGGGGTGAAGGGGGGGGGGGGGGTATAGTTATCAATGCAAATTAGCGCGAATGGTGAGGATGGGGGTGCACGAGTGTCAACGGGTCTCTCTGGTAAAGTGGCAAATTTAACAATAGTCGACATTAAAATATTTAAAATTAACATCTCTTTCTCTCAACCCCAACTCTTGTAAAAGTCTAACCAACGTGGCTAGACTCAGGAAACCACTACATCGTGAAATGATCGTCAAAAGTACCCAATGCGTGTCTGACTATTCTTGCCCTCACTCCCTCTTTTATAGGTACCCATTCTTTTGCCTGTGGTATTTACGTAATAGACTGATAACTGCTAAATTCCAAATATGACTATTGTGTAACTGTTGTGACATTAAAACATATAGAAAAAAAAATATCATTGTTCCTGGTACACATATTCGAGTCGATATCGTGAGAAAACACAATGGTGAAGTCCTTAAGAAAGGAGATACAACAGTAGCAGCCTAGAATCAACAAACACTTAGACGACCGTGCCAAAAGAGAGATAGGCACTGTTTTCTCAAAGGCACTGTTTTAGGAATTTGTTATCAAGAAATGTAAACCTCCATTTTTCCACGTTCATTTACACATGGACTTCAAGCACATACACAACACAACAGAAAGGTTGCCAGGAAAAAAACCACACGCCCGCACACCCCAGTAGCCAGCCGGGAAAGGGCGGGGGAGTGGCCCCCCGAAAAAATGATTTGTTCCCCCCCCCCCCCCGAAAAAAAAGTTGCCGACCATAGTATGAGTCCAACCCTGTTTAATATATATGTTAACGATCTACAAAACTACCTTCAAAAATCAGCTAGCACCCCGCTGCTTAATGGTCAACCGTTATCCCATCTTATGTTTGCGGATGATTTAGTTTTATTGTCCTCTAATGAGGCTGATCTACAGAATCAATTAAATAATTTATCCGAGTTCTGTTCCGATTGGCAACTGAAACTTAATCCAAATAAAACAAAAATAATGACGTTTCTTAATTCTAAAATAAGTAAAAAGCAAAATTATATATATAAATTTTATTTTGAAGAATTTGAACTCCAAAATACCGAAACGTACAATTATCTTGGATTAACGATTACTAATAATTCTAGCTTTAAAACTGCATTTTTTGACCAAATGAAAAAAGCCCGACGAGCGTGGTATGCGATAAGACAGAAACTATGCTGTACTGAATCCCTGCCCTCTACAGTAATGATAAAACTTTATCATTCTATTGTTAAGCAGATAGCCCTTTATGGGGCAGAGATTTGGGGTTCATACGTTATCAAAAACAAAAACATAATTAAGATTGACAGATGGGATAAATTTGAAGAAAACAGAAGTACGATCAACATTTGTAAATCCATTCTCAATATGCCTAAGCGTGCTAGTAACATGGGATGTCTAGCTGAATGTGGTATCCATCCACTATCTCTGGACATATATCAGCGTATGCTTCTTTACTTCAAAAGATTCTTATCGGATAATAAAAACAAACTCCTAGACACGTCATTTGTAGCGGATTATGAACTTTCTTGTAAAAGTAGGGTTGCCTGTCCAACCTCGTGGGTTTTCTCCGGGTCCTCCGGTTTCCTCCACTGCTTGCTAAAGACCCCTATGCGCAAGCGAATTATTGAAATAAAATTAAACCATATTATGTTAGTCCCGAAATGACCTAGTTTATGTCGAGTGGACGTCAAACCCCATTTCTGTCTATCTATCTATCATGTGGGCTGGAAAACGGGTTTACGGCCGTCCAAATTTCAAAATTTTTAGGGGGAGGAACCCCAGGCCGCAATCCACCAGCCCCCCCCCCCCGCTTAGACGGTCACTGCCCCTCCGCAGCAAGCAAGCTGGCTACGGGCGACGGGCCTGCGCCCACATCAGCTAGTTCGTGCGCGCAGTGCGTCATTTGGACATTAGCTTTAGTCTCCAGAGCACACACAATCAAAGTCCAACTTAGTCATGGGTCTGCAGTTCAGTGGGCCCCGCATTTCATGGCACAAAGAGAACAAAATCAAATTCCAGATGAAAGTTTCACAGTAATCAATCTAGCGGCGCGAGGGTGGAGACTGAGCTATCCCTCAAAATTCTCTGTGAAGTTCCACTCGGTGATCGGTCTAGGCTTCTAGCGACGCGATGGGCAGAGACTGGGTGAGTCTGCAATCCCCCAACCTTCTCTGCTGTGATTGGTCGAAACCCATTCAAAAAGATATGAAATAATCGTTTCGTCGCATTAGGGGCCCCGCGATTCTAGTCAGGCTCCGCTCCGGTTAAGTTGGGCTCTGCACACAATAGACGACACGACGAACGGACGGTGGAGGGTGGGGGGACCTTATAGGGTACGACCACTTTGCAATGTGGGCGTAAAAAAATCAATTAAATATCACGGCAAGTAAGTGAGTGTACTAAATTAAAGGAGCTAAATCGCTAACATTTGGGACCTAGAAATTGACAAAAGTGGGTCGCAACGCATATAATACTGTAATATGAATGTATATAAACTGATTTACATTCAATGGTTTCCGTTTTTACTCCAATTTCAAATCAGTTATGTTTGGCGAAATAAGCCAGCAGTCTCAAGCGAGTGCAAATTTCTAGCGTCTGGTTATTCCAGTCTACATACGCCGTTTGATTTGGTGCAATGTGTCTAGAGTCGTCCCTCGAGTCTCTTGATACATCTGGGGCTGAAGCGCATTATGGTACACGATTCGTGTACCAATGGTAAAATGTTTATTTTGTCTTAAATATTGGATATCAAAAGCCCATCTTTTTCCGGTAAGATCACAACATGAATGTTGATTTAATTTGACAAATAAATCGTGTATTCAATGTTGAAGATTTTGGATAATATTGAGTTAGAGACTTAGCTCCTTTAAATTACGAATTGTCATCTACGTGGTGGAGATAAGGCTGACTGACAACACATTTTGCAAATCCTAAGGTTATGATGTAAATATAAAGTTATCATGCGATTCGATTTTATCTGTCCAAGTCCATCCCATGTTATTGTTAACGAACGAATAAGGCTACAAATGATCTCTTCCAATTTAAGTAATAACAATAGGTTTGCACAACATTCTCTTTAAATGTTAATATATATATATATATATATATAAACTTGCAAGTATGACAAGACATTTGATACAAATAGGTTGAAATGGCGCGCATGGGGTGGGGGTCGTTGCGTTTGTCAGTATTCTAAGCTAATAGATACTGATTGACATGTATACTAATCCCTAAATTTGATAACACACAACCTTTATAAAAGTAGCAATTCAACACACGATACGAATATGCTCAATATTTTAGCCACATAGGTGTTGTTCGAACCGTCAAATTATTACAATAGTTGACCGAGTCTTCACTATAATGGGATTGTTATGATATTTATGATAATACAAGTTTATAAAGTACTATATTAACAAAGAACCCTCACTCTCACTTCACGTACAAGATATTTCTTTAATAATACCAGTATAATATTCAATAACCGATATCTATATATAGGCTGTAGAAATATATACAGGTCACATTTTAATATTTTCATAACTGATATAGAAAGGCTTAGGGATCGGAGACTGCTACTACACACACGGCTCTATATATTGGGGATTAACATATTATGGTTCGAATAGGGACAATTGCATAGCGAAATAGAGTGGTCGTCAGCCGTTGCACTTGATACATGCAATATTGAGGATTACTATTCACGACACGAATTTCTTATTTCGAATCGATAATATTGATGAACCTTGTCTTTATATGGGGTATAGATTAACACCATTGGTCATTAACGTGTGTGTGTGTGCCACATTTTGCTGCTTAATGACAGAGGGTTGAATTATAGCTGAGGATGGAATACCAGAAAATGAACAGAAAGAAAGAACATTCCACAGTAAGGTTCCACGATGTGTCTCGCAAGACGTCATCAGTCCAGAAATACAGTCACGCATACCTACCACGTTTAAATCGACAAAATACCGAGATATCCCCAGTAACTAGAATGGACGAACAAATGCACGACCTTTTGGATGCAATGACTGACGATAAGATTGAAGAAGACGTAGCAAAACTTACAGCTAAACAGATAATCAACCGCTTGATCTTGTATCTTCGTAAAATTTCGTCCATTGATTTCAAAGCTGCATTCCAAATTGAAAACATTCCTCAATTTTCGAGAGATACAGGTACTCTGTATTATATTTTACCATTTAAATACGAAGGAGTTCACATGGAAACATTGGATCCAGGCTATGTGACATTCAAACTTCCGAAGCAAGCCCTGGATAAATTAGACCGGTTCCAGAAAGTCAGGGCATATGATGGAATCCATCTTTCTCCTTTGAAGTTCCAGTGGTATATCAGTGAACTCGTTCAAAAAGCTGTAAAACGAATAGATGCTGAGAAAAAGAGCCGAGCAAAACGAAACTACGAAATAACCACCGACAAAGAGAGATTAAATACAGACGAAGAAAGTAGGGATATAGACAAAGAAAAGAGGAATACGGAAGAAGGGAAGGGGAATATGGATGAAGAAAAATCATATGAAAAAAACAGGAATGCAGGCGAAGAAGAGGGAGATATAGATAAAGAAAAGGGAAATATGGAAGCAGAGAAGGGGGATACGGATGAAGGAAATACAGATGAAGGGGCGACAGATATAGATGATAAAATATCTAGTGATATGATGAATGAGATGGAAATGTTGGGTGTCGAAACATGTTTACATACTTCAGAAGTATCAGACACAGAGTTCGAGTTACCGTTTACAATTAAACTAGCTGGTGGATGGAAGGTAGAACTTCTACCAGCAATATTCACTTCATTAAAGGATCCAGTGTATTTGATGAAACCATATGAAATAGATGAAAATAATCATTCTGATATTCGTTGGCGAATATGTTATGCCAAACGTGAAACAACATTACTTAAGTCAATATGTAATACCGACAAGGATTTGAGATTAGAAGCCATGAATGTGGTATTAGCTTGTTTAAAATGTGATTCAAGGTTAACTTTATTTTCAGATTATCAGATTCAAACTTGTCTTCTACATGACATGGACTTTCTCATGGATAACTCACCGCGATGGCAGAGACAGACATTACAAAGATGTGTTCAATCTTTATTTAAAAGGGTTTACGATTATGTGACTTCGCGAAATTTACCACATTTTTTCATCGAAAATTTTAATTTATTCGAATACTGGACAGAAAATGAACTAAAAGTAGCAAAAAGTGCCCTGGGAAGACTCATCTCAAATGAATCCGCTATGATGAATCTGATACAAAGAACATTACGCAGAACAATTGACACGACTCCCGTTAGTTTACCAGAAAATCGAAGCAGTTCGACGGATTTTAACCGATTTGATTTGTAATATATGTGAGTAAAATGATCATTCACTAGACTAAGTCTTGTGGTGTTTTTTTTTTAACAAATAGCAACAGATTGGCAGGGCTGGATTAAGCTTGCATGGGGCCGCTGGCTGAAAATATCACGGGGGCATATTCTGTTTATTATCCGTCACACTCACACGAATGCAATTTGTATTTCAGATGGTAGAAGGATAGATTTAATTGGCACACACATACAACATAATAAATGACATTTATTTATGGTACAAAATGTTTTATAACAAATTTGGGGGTTCTGTGAATTGGACATTCTACTACCAATGTTTCGTTTGCTAAACTACCAAGAATCCATAAATTTAGATGATATGTTTGGACACGATCTAAATGAAGAAATTGGCCACATCTAAGATTCGAAAAAAAATACAATAAATTTTTATGGCTATCATAACTGTGTGTCGCTATCATTATGTGAAAAGACTAAAACAAATACAAAGCTAAACATTGTACCAGGAGAATAATTTAATTTAAGATCGAGGAAAACGTTAAAGATCATAATTTCTTCCATTGATTCAAGTGACGTGGTATCGATCCCATGCTTGTATGTGACAAGGAATATGGGTTCCTAGATTTTCTCTTGGTTGTCCAGCCCCTCCCCCCCCCCCACACACACCACCACCTCTAAAGACCTGCGTATTACAAGATAATTATTAAATTGAAGATAACATATGTCATACATTAGTCCCGAAATGGTCTAGTTTTTTTTTTTGGGGGGGGGGAGTGGACACACAAACCATAGAAATATATACAGTATATACTTCTATGCACAAACTAAGGTTTGGTGCAGAAAGTTTGGATTGGTAATAATTGGATAGGTAGATATGAATTCGTGTGAAAGAATGCAATTTGTTTGACTCGTGGTAAATTAATAACTGGTTAAAACTCCATTATATTAATCTCATAATCCCCAAGATAATTCATTTATTACCTTACCATTTATATAGGAATGAAAAGACTTTTGAGAAGATTTGACAAGCAGAATTAATAATGATTGATATAGGAGGTTTATATGTACACTATATGTAAATCGAACATAGCCTTGTCCCAATTCTCAATCAGCCCTTTACTCTTTACATTCTATTATATGCCAACGCGAAGTATTAATCTTTATTATAAGATAGATTATCATATCCCACATAGTCTCTATACACACGTTGTAACACAGTTTTCCTGCAGGCAGGGGCCATTATTGTTAAACATGTCAAAATGTTTGTATTCAAAGTTCCACATTTCACAGATAGATACATGTGCCTTTAAAATGGCTAAACCTTTTTGATTTGAGTAAACAAGCGGTTGCCATGCAAGATAAGCTCACATTTTGCAAGACAGGGACAAAGAACAAGCTAACAAACACTTTTCATACAACTACGGGCCATAATCCAGAAATTTACGGTCTGTGGGTTATTAAATATACTTTTCAAGTTTCATCAAAATAGGATACAAATTGTGACCTCTAGAGTGTCCACAAGCTAAAAATGTTATTTTTCGTACCACCAGGGGCCATAATTCATTTACTTAAGGTCCGATACATGCCAATATCGAAAATAACAGTTTAAAGCGAGAATTTCAAATTTTCTAAGAAAGTCAAAACGTAATTATATCTATGTCTTTTGCTCAATGGGATGTCAACTCACAATTATACGATCATAGGTGTCATTCTCACACTTAAAACTCATTTACACAGGAAATAATAACACAATTACCTCCCAATTATCCCCCTTGTTTTCTATTCTCCACCATGGAGTAGCTTTTTTCAAACGTTTGAAAATGAAGAGGAAAATGATATTTTTGCCAATTTCTCAGCTGGCAATAGTGAATTATAGGATTAATAGGATTATTTTTTAACAAGGTAGGACTGTTTATGGATACCATCTATTTTCAGGCTTTATTTTAATAAATTTTAAAAATATAACTTAAAAATTTGCAATTTCCGCTTTAAGTTGCCCTGTGTAGCCTTACAGACATTTACAAATTAAATAATTAATACTAGATTCCCCACTGTCGTGCAATGCGTCGCGATAGGATTGTCCCTATTGAATCTACGATCTGGTACATGCAGATACGTTCGGATACTTTTGGATTGCTACAAATGACCTCAATATGATCCACGATTACTCCACGATTAAAACCACTATTTCAATCGCAGCACGAATCGTGATAGTGGGGACCTAAAATAATGAATAAGCTTACAGACTCAACCAAAGCCAAAATGTGGACGTATAATTGTCAATTCGATTGAATGTTTGTATTTTGATTTTTTTTGTTTGGGTAACAATTTGTCTTCGTTGAAAATTTAAAGTGCACATAAGGTCACCATACGAAATTATATGTACTTGTAGCCAGTTGTTACTACCAGTTCACACCAATCTGATTGAAATTAAATAAGTCATCTTCACTCAAAGTCGCAAATATAGACCTCTCGTAAACACAACTTTGCCAATTATCGTAAACTTTCTTAATCTCAGCAGATGCCAGTGACGTCACAGTGGCCGATTGCATATTCGGCATATTTATTCCTTAATTACCTATATACAGCCTGGTGTGTATTCATTAACGCCTGACCTATTCCTTAATCCCCTAATTAAATAAAACAATTGACTAGGGAATAATTTGTTTTGTAATTTATTTTAAGATCCAATTTAGAATTTTGTTTATAATACCATAACAAAGACAGTCGATGTATTCCCCGTACAATAATTCGTTTTCTATGAAGGCAGTAAGATGGGTGTAAAATTGTTATCAACGGTGCTACGAACATCTATGAAGTCGAGAGATAATTAATTGTCGGCTTTTACGAAACGTAATGCTTTCGTGGTGGTACTTCTGGATGTGATTGACAAAGTAACTGTATCGAATCGTCCCCGTCTCTAGCCGCAGCCCACCAATAGAGATGGTAGAGATGGTTCGTTATACTTCGAAACCAGACTGATGCTGAAACGGTGTTTTTCTTTTACAAGAGCTATCAATTTTGTTTCAAACCTGGAAGAAACCGTAATACGTTATAATTAACATTTTTTCTAGAAACTTCTTCATTCCAATGACCTTCCAAGATATAGTCTGACATAAAAGTCAACTTTGATATGTCAGTGGTATGTTTTATGATGATCTAAACTCTTATCAAGCTACAAATAAAACAAATATACCTTTAGATTCGTGTCAGATATCGAAAAAGTGCTTCATATTCACCAGGTTTTCGCGGATTCATTTACCAATTTGACCAGCCAACTGTATAGTGTATATCATATTCCTGGAATCATTGTACTGCGCAAATGGGACCGTCATTCTGTGGCTGGATGCTGGATTTGACTTCATTACACTAAAATAGATCGTAAAAAATGAAATAGGAAAAATCTCACTACGTTAGAATTAACAGTAGGTCTACAACTAATTTGGGCTATTTGATTTTTTTGGTAACCAGCTAAATTGGTAACAGACTATATTTGTGTATTAATGCACGTGTCTGTGCAAGTGTACAAGTGTCGGTAATCTCTGATTGGTCAAAACCAACTAAAAGATGGACAAACATTAATTAATTAACACAATTGAGAGTGCTGGCTGGATTAAGAACGTTGATTAGGTAATTATCTTTTTTGTCGGCCAGATCCAAGATATAGGTTCACATAATTCTTGTAATATTCGGGTTTTTTTTACTTTGCATCGTGATAAATACGAATTTTAAAGACTTACCTGGACTAACTGCATATCAAAAAAAAAACTTAGCGTTGTGGTCAGGTGTATCTGTCCTACTTTCTCCTCCCACCGTTATACCTTTCTCATTTAATCGGACACCGTTAATGTAATCGGCTTGGTATTCTTTCGATTCTGAATTAATAGCTGGGTGTAATATAATTTGTTGGTGATTCATGTTGGTTGCAGCATGGGGTATGTTCATGATGGAGAATGTCTTTACTTTAGACGGCAGAGAATCGACGGCACATTATGTACCTTTTCTTTGTTTGAATTTCCACAACTCTCAACAACACAAAGATGATGCGCCATTTTAAAATTCACCCGTAACATATTCCAACCACAAGTATATGTTGTCTGCGATATCACCTCGGTGGAAGCGGACGTAAAATACAACTAACTCAACAACAAAGACCAGAAAGGTCATCTCTTAAAAATGAATTACAGTGATTTGTAGCTTACACGTAGATAATTATAATGAGGTAATGATTAGGTCAGTGAGTACGTTAATTGAATCGTTAATACACACTAGTCAACCGGTGGTGTTTATGCGTAGTGATAAGACCTTAATAGCTTATGTACGTGTGGTCCCTGTAACGTAATTGAAAAATGCGAAAAGTGTTTTGAAGTGTCTGATACTAAAACGTTAATATGTCGAATAATTTTAATCAGACTGGTGTGAGCTTGCCGTAGACTGCATAAAGTCACCACTGGCTACAAGTACAGAAAGTTTCGTATGGTGATCTTATGTCCACTTTTACTCCTATAGATAAAGCCAGTGTTGAGACTTTGTGTCGATCGACATAGCAAGCCTTAAATGAAACTAAAATTGGTAAACAAAACGACTCCTGGTTCATTTTTCTAAACAAAAATTTAATCGTATAGCTCTAATCTGGGTAATTCAATAGGCCCAATTCAATGCGCTATTTTTGCCTAAATAAAAGCCGTTTAGTTTCTTTAAAGTATACAAGTATACAAATGAAATACTAAAGTGTAAAGAAGTGGCTAATTTACCTTAAGGGGACTATCCCGATCGAACAGAGTCTCAAAAAAGTCTGAGTACGTATGAAATTTAAAAGTCAAAATATAGAGGAATGGTGTATTTACCTTGTCTCAAAATTTCAGCTCAAAATATTGAGTCGTTTGGACGTGAACGTCAAAACTGGTTATCCGGACACGTAACCCTTTTAAGATTTCGGGTCAATTTTTTCGTTGGGTGACTTGATAATCGATTCCCGTTCTTTGAGAGGTCTATACAGTGAATGACCGAATGTACTTGACAACGAAAGGTAAATTTCACCTACACATC